AGCCCTGACCAAGACTGCGGTCATGTTTGGTGGCATCATCAACTTCCGTCTTGTTGACGGCATCACATTGAAGGTCGGCCTTGGTATGATCCTCGAGGCTGTCCGCGAACACGAACCCCACGACCCGATGTACAAGTTCGGTGTGGAAGCAATTGAGCAGTTGATTAACCGTCTTCCTGAGTGGGCTGGATTCTGCCACCTGCTCTTCCAAATCCCCTCTCTTCAAGGCACGCCCATCCACCTGAAGGCAGAGGAGGTGCTCCGTGAGCAAGGAAACCAGATTGGTGAAGCTGAGGCAGGACCCTTTGATGGTATTACGTCTGTGCCTCTGACCAACGGTAATTCTGCTGATTCCCTCATGGCCGATGGCTCCGTGCGCAAGTTCCGTGCTGTTCAACTCGACCCACCTCTTCGATCTGAAGTTTATGAAGACCCGGATGAAGACATTCAGGACAAGATTCTTTTCGTTCTCAACAACGTTTCCGAGCAGAATATTGACGAGAAACTTGAAGATCTGCGAGAAGTCTTGCGCGACCAACATCACCAATGGTTCGCCGCATACCTGGTTGAAGAACGTGCCAAGTTACAGCCCAATTTTCAACAGCTCTATCTTGACCTTCTTGGGCGCATTGGCGACAAGACTCTCTGGGCCGAGGTCCTGCGGGAGACCTATGTCAGTGTCGCTAAATTGATCAACTCCGAAGGCACCTTGAGCTCGTCTACTGATCGCGGTCACCTGAAAAACCTTGGTGCTTGGCTTGGCTCGCTGACTATTGCCAAAGACAAACCTATCAAGCACAAGAATATCTACTTTAAGGGCCTGCTTCTCGAAGGCTATGACACCCAACGCCTCATGGTTACGATCCCCTTCACCTGCAAAGTTCTTGTGCAGGCTACCAAATCCACAGTCTTCAAGCCACCCAATCCCTGGCTAATGGATATTTTGGGCCTGCTACTAGAGCTTTATCACTTCGCCGAACTGAAGCTCAATCTCAAATTCGAGATTGAAGTTCTCTGTAAAGATCTTGATCTCGACCACAAGGCAATAGAGCCTGCGATTGTCATTCGTGATCGTGCTGCACATGCCGAGGAACCACTGCCCAGTTATAACGCCCCAGAGGGTCTTACCGAGCCGTTTGAAGACATGTCCCTCAGCTCTATCAACCCAACCATCCGGAATGAAAGGTTGTCTCCCGCTGCCATCATGTCAACATTGCCAAGCCTTGACAAGATCCTCGTCTTGCCCTCATCGGCGAGCAGCATGGTTGATCCCAGCATTCTCAAACAGATTGTGCACACCGCAGTCGAGCGTGCCATTGCCGAGATCATCACTCCTGTCGTTGAGCGCTCTGTCACCATTGCGTCCATCTCCACTGTGCAACTTGTCTCCAAGGACTTTGCTATGGAACCTGACGAGGAACGAGTGCGCCATGCAGCGGGAATCATGGTCCGACAACTTGCTGGTAGCTTGGCACTTGTCACCTGCAAAGAACCTCTGAAGGTCAGCATGACAAACTACATTCGTATGATTCAGCAAGACTACTCTGAGCAGCCTATGCCCGAGGGCCTGATTCTTATGTGTGTCAATGATAACCTGGATGCCGCTTGTGGCATCGTCGAGAAAGCCGCAGAGGAAAAATCACTTCCTGAGATCGAGAAGGTGATTGAGCCTCAATTAGAAGCCCGTCGTCGCCACCAGGCCAGTCGCTCTAACGACCCTTTTATTGATCCTTCAATGAATCGATGGGGATTGTTCATTCCGGAGCCTTACCGGCAAGCGCCAGGTGGTCTCAATAAAGAGCAACTCGCCATATATGAAGAGTTTGCCCGTCAATCCCGAGGCCTAGCGCCATCCGCCGATGCAACCTCCGGCCGCCAACTCCCCGACGTGCTTGGAGAATCTTACCCTGCTATTCCAAACCTTTCCACGCCAGCTGAGCAGCCAGCCATTCCTCACAGAACCCCCCAGGCGCAGTCTGCCATTTCTCAAATGCCCCCCGTTCAGACTAACGGGTTCCTCGATGCTCAAAGCCCCCGGGAAAGAGTGGAAAGCCTCGTGTCCGACCTACAACAGTCTGCTCGTAGCGCCCCCGAAGAACACGTCAAGGATCTTGGCAGAGATAGTGCAGTTCTTCAGGAATACAATCAGGCATTGCGCAGCATCCTTTCCTCCACGAATGGGGAGGAGCTGGCACGACTGACCTCTTTGAAGGTTTGTACCCTTCTGTATTCCCAGCCACATGGATCTCTCGAGATTGAAGTTCTCGTGCACCTTCTTGCCAAGCTGTGCGATATGTCCAGTCTCATTGCTCGGTACACCTGGGCACTGCTCTCCGAAGTTGATGATGAGCATATGTTCAATGTGCCGGTCACCGTTGCTCTCATTGACGCAGGTCTCCTGGATATCCGTCGGGTCGATACGAACCTGACCCGACTCATTCAATCTAGGAATGTGCCCGCTTTGGAGTTGCTGGGCAACCTAATGGATCGTGTTCTGTTCAATGAAGAGCCTTCGGCTCTTCGATCAGACTTCTCTGGCAGTCTAGATGCCATGAGCCAATGGCTTGCCGAGGATGGAAGCGTTGCTTCCGGTCTCGAAATTGTGCGCAAGCTGCGCGAGTCCGGTATTCCCGAGGTCGTCAATACACTCCTAAGTGACCAAGCCAGGTCCAAACGCGATCAAATGGAGTATATCTTCAGCGAGTGGATCGGAATTTACAAGGCCCCCGGTGCGACTGACCGCACCTTCCACTCTTTCCTGCAGGATCTCCACAACCGCCAAGTGATGAACAGCCAGGAGGACTCTGCCCTATTCTTCCGTCTCAGCATCGACATTTCCGTCGCCATGTTTGAGCATGAGTCTCAGAACCCCAACGGCAGTCTTGATGAAGCCTTCCTTTACATCGATGCTCTCGCTAAACTAGTGATTCTTCTCATTAGATTCCAGGGTGAGAACGCTGGCGCCGTCAAAGCCAGTAAGGCTACATACTTCAACTCCATTTTGTCTCTCTTAATCCTGGTCCTCAACCACCACCAGGTCATGAGAGGAGAAGCTTTCAACCAGCGTGTATTCTTCCGTCTCTTCTCAAGCATTCTGTGCGAGTACTCTATGAATGGCCTCCAACACACTGAGCAGCACCAAGGAATGATTTTCGCCTTGGCCAACAAATTCCTCTCCTTCCAGCCCCGTTATGTCCCCGGCTTTGTTTATGGCTGGCTTTGCTTGGTCTCTCACCGTGTTTTCATGTCTGACATGCTCAACATGCCCGATCGTGCAGGATGGGCGCCTTACTGCGAAATCATGCAAGCATTGCTGTCCTACATGGGCGAGCAACTTAAGGCTGCGAACATTACATACGTTGCTAAAGATCTATACAAGGGCGTTCTCCGTGTCTTGTTGATTTTGCACCACGATTTTCCCGAGTTTGTTGCTGAGAACCATTTCCAGTTCTGCAATGTGATCCCGGCCCATTGCGCTCAGCTTCGTAACCTTGTCCTTAGTGCCTACCCCTCGTCCTTCCAAAAGCTCCCCGATCCTTTCCGTGAAGGCTTGAAGGTTGAGCGTATCGAGGAGATGCGCGAAATCCCCAAGATTGCTGGTGACATTGTTGCTCCTTTACAAGTTGCTAACGTCAAGGATATTATTGACGGTGTGCTCCAGAATGAGACCATCTCCGAGTCTGCTGTTCAGCATCTTTGTGAAGCCATTCTCAACCCCGATTCCAAGGACACAGGCCTCTTCTTTGTCCCCGTGGAGGTGGACGTCGTTTTGGTTAATGCACTTGTTTTGTATATTGGCCAACAAGCCGCAGTGGAGCATGCTTCCAAGGACAACACCCGAAGTGCCTTCGAGAACTCGACTCACGCTGCTCTTCTGGAGAAAATTGCCCAAGTTCTGCGACCTGAAAGTCGCTACTACTTGCTCAGTGCAATGGCCAACCAGCTCCGCTACCCCAACAGCCACACCTACTTCTTTAGTTTCACGATTCTCCGTCTGTTTGGCGTGGACTACTCTGAGCAAGATGACTCGGATGTCCGCCAGCAAATCATTCGTGTGTTGTTGGAGCGACTAATTGTCCACCGTCCGCATCCATGGGGTCTGATCATCACCCTGCAGGAACTCCTCCAGAACCGGAGCTACTCATTCTTCCGCCTCCCCTTTATCCAAGCGGCCCCTGAGGTAAGCTCACCATTCATCCACCACCATTCCGCGATACTAATTCCTTCTCAGATCGGTCGTCTCTTCGACGCTCTTCTCCAACACATCCAACAACAGAGCCCTCGGCCCATCGCTTAGGCTTCTCTTGGCTTCTCATCCTCATCCTCCCCTTCCATATCTCTCCTCAAGTTCTTTCTCTGGTAACTCGGGCGGCACTGGAGTACTTCGTTGCATGTAATTTTCACGGAGTTCTCTTCCGCGATTGCTCCTTTGCGTTTCCTTTTCCATTTTGTCTTTCCAGTTTCATGTTACGGCAGGGGTTAGCCATGGTGATGGCATGCATATTTACTTTTTTTTTTACGATTTTCGCACGACCTGAGGTTCCATGATATTTTTTCGCGTCTCATGCTGCCCGCGACCTGTAATGATAAGACTGTAAAAGCTGGAGTTGACGGTGTCATCACTATCTGCATGGGGCAATGCCAATTTACTATTATCCTGATTGTTGTCGCTTCTTTTCGGGTTTTCCGTTCGGCTTCACAATGTATAATGAACGATGTCTCTTTTCGTTACTTGTCGTGAACCTGGCAATCCTGCCTTAGACTCAATATCCCAAGAGGGGAATAGCTCCTGAAAGCCTCGTTTGTATATTGCCATATAACCATCGGATTCAAATTAAACGGAATGGACTTGGCAGGTATCTTCAGCATATAGTTCTAACCTTGACGGGTGAGGCGAAGCTTGGAGACCTTGGTGCAGATAACAGCGATAACAGGATAAGACCTCCGAGGTTATGAGACCTCAACTTTTGAAGGTTGTTTCTACCAACTATTCCCCAACAATGGCCGACTCGGAATTTGGAGACGAGTCAGAATATGGCACATCTTCTGCCAGGGCAGTCATCATGGTGAGTATATCGATGCCAATTTCCCAGTTGCAACTGACGCAAGACAGGACGCGATCCTCGCGCCGTTCCGCGCGCTGGTATCCAAGTCCGCCTTACGGCTATATGTGAACACGCTACTGTTCATGGGCGCCGCGTCATTTCTAATAGGCACTTCCGCAATTGCCTACGGGGTCTTCTATTTTAAATTCATCCCCACAGTTGGACTACAGCGCGAAGTTCATTTACAATTCGGGCATGACAACATCCCCCACAAACAGACACCCAGCTCGACTAACTTGTACACAGCAATGGCAACCCCTGGGGTATAGCACACTTTGACTCCGAGTTCGTGGCTCTTCAGCCCTACGATGTATCCGTGACGCTCGAGCTGCCACGCACGCCCTCAAATCTCGATACAGGCAACTTTATGCTCGACCTTGCCCTCTTCTCCTCCCGCCCCGCCTCGTCTCTCCTACCCGGTCCAAATAACACCCCCCTCACGCGGGCCCGCCGCCATGCTATTATGACCTATGCCTCGCCGCTGGTGGATCTTGCTCGGAGGGTGGCGTGTATGCCGCTTTATGTTGTTGGATGGCACCGGGAGTCGGAGACGCTAGAGGTGCCGATGATGGAGCTTCTTGAGTTTGCGAAGGGAGCGCGGAATTTGCCGCAGAGTCTGCGGCTGGAGATTCAAAGTGACTCGAAGATGCAGATTTATACCGCTCAGGTGGAATTCCGTGCTAAGCTGACAGGGCTTAGGTAGGTCTTCCTGGGGATCGGAATGTTGGAAATATGGCTAACAGATGGGTAGATGGCTTATGTATCGCTGGAAGGTTACTTCTTTTGTTGTTTTCAGCTCTCTTTTTTGGTCTGTTTCCATGCTCTCCGCTGGTTTGACGTGGCTGGCGATGACTTGGGTTTGGGGGACTATGCCCAAGAATGAGATTAAGGAGGAGCCGGAAGACTCTATCAAAGAAGATCCTGATGACCAGAATACCTCTGAAGAATCTTTGGAGGTTAAAAAGGAAGAACCAGAGGAGCAGGAACAGAGGTTGCTTTCTAGTTATCCGGCGGAGGGTGAGGAAACTGGTACAGGCTCCGGGCTGGAAAGTGCAGAAGCTCGTGGTGTACAGAGGCGGCGGAGTCATTTGACACAAACAGATTGAAATGCTTTCATTGGTCTAGTTGGTCTGATTGGGTGATATATGTTGTAATGTCGTTTATGATCTACGGAGTAGGTAGTGTGAATGGCATTTGTGGATCGTTTGGGCCGATTGTGACAACGCAAAGCGGGGGGAACTTTCTTCTCCTCCATTCTTCACATTTCAACCACTCCGCCCGCCATGCATATCCTGGTAAGCAGATACAGTTCTTACAGTGTCAATTTGGAAGACTCATCTCGATCTAGGTCACCAACGATGACGGTCCTCCGTCTAACCAGTCATCGCCCTACGTGCATTCGCTCGTCCACTCACTCCAGTCCGCCGGTCACACGGTCTCGGTCATTCTCCCACACCAGCAGCGATCATGGATCGGTAAAGCGCACATCGTAGGCGCAGCCGTCAAACCGACGTACTTCCGACCCGGAACGCTACATCAAGAAGACGGGACAACACACCATTTGCCCCGAGGCAGTGACGGTGAACTCGACGAAGGAGACGAATGGGTTCTGATCGACTCGACCCCGGCGAGCTGTGTCCAGATCGGTCTATATCACTACTTCCAAGAACGTGGCCCTATTGATGTCATTATTTCCGGTCCGAACTATGGTCGCAACACTACCGCACTCTTTGCATTGTCGAGCGGAACCATTGGCGCAGCGTTGGAAGGTGCTTGCTGTGGGAAGCGCTCAATTGCTCTATCTTATGCTTTCAGTTCTCGGAACCATGACCCTGTCATTATCGCAGAGGCTGCGGGTCATTCGGTCAAGGTGATCGAGCATCTTTGCGCCAACTGGGCAGACGGGGTACAACTCTATAGTGTCAATGTTCCCCTTGAACCCGGCGTGAGTGAGAATAAGGTCTTATATACCAACATGCTGCAGAATATGTGGACCGGGAGTTGCTTCCAGGCTGTCGATCCCACAGCCGCAGACGACCCTGATTTGCAAGAAAAGCTGCTGCGCGACGGAGGCGAGGCTGAAGGAAAGAAACCGGATCAGACCGTCGGTAACAGCGAGAAGTCATCTTATGGACCCCGGATTCAGCACAAGCATTTCAAGTGGGCGCCGAGCTTCCAGGACGTTTTCCGAAGCGTCGAGGAAAGTGAGCCTGGCAATGATGGCTGGGCCGTCAAGGAGCAAATGACTAGGTTTGTCCAATGCCCTCTTGTTTATGAATATCGACTGACATTTACAGTGTCACGCCTCTCATGGCCAATTTCATGCACGGGCCCGGTATCTCCGGGGAGATCAAGCTGTGAGTGACGACTTTGACGCGATGTGGCATGGTATGGAGGGTTCTATCCGAAATTTACATGTTGCATGCACTAGAAATATCTGGCTTAGCTGTTAGATGCCATGTCCCCACCCCTTTTATCTGCTTTTATCTTCAAGTATTGGCGCCCTTTCTGATAGACGGAGATCTTGTAGATCGGCTAATCAACCCTCGTTGTACTCCCTCGTCGACTGCGATGACTCCTACGTGCAAGAGATGGTTGACCGGGCATTGACCCGTCGCCTGGGCAGTGCCACCAAGCGTGTGTCTTCTGTGTCCGAACTACCAAACTCTTCCGCGCCGCTTTTCCAATACCGCGAATATGAACGCCTCGACTTCGAACATGTCATGTCCAGATCGTCGACCTCTCTTTCGAATGCATACATCATCCGCAAGGCTTTGATTCGCAAGCACTATCTCTCCAACACGGTATCCAACTGGATCTCAAAACACCCAGATAGCATCCTACGACACCACTTCAAGCCCGCTTTTGACTTCGAACTCGATTATGCCGAGTTCCTCGACGACGCCCTGCTCGAAGCATACGAGCTGAACGACAGCCTTGCCAAGAACGAAGGACGACCCGACTCCGAGAAAGAATGGTGGATCCTCAAGCCCGGCATGAGCGATCGAGGCCAGGGAATTCGTATCTTCAACAGCGAAGACCAGCTACGCGAGATCTTTGAGGAGTGGGAAGAAGACTCAGACGACGAGAGCGGATCTGAGACAAACGCCGACGACGTGGAAGCCAACGCTCGCGCTGCCCTGGATACAGGAATCGTCACTTCGCAGCTCCGCCACTTCCTCGCACAACCCTACATCGACCCTCCCCTCCTTCTCCCGTCGTCTTCGAATCGCAAATTCCATATCCGCACCTACGTCCTCGCCTCGGGGTCACTGAAAGTCTACGTCTTCAAGGAGATGCTCGCGCTGTTCGCTGCTAAGGCCTACTGCGCTCCACACGAAGAAGACGATGTCGCCGACCTCGCGCGCCATCTGACCAACACCTGTTTCCAAGAGGGCGGCAGCTCGAACGCGGGTAGTGTGCGCCGCTTTTGGGACCTTGACCATCACGTTCCCGGTCTCAGTGCAGACTGGAAGGAGAAGATCTTTGAGCAGATCTGCTCGGTGACGGGTGAAGTGTTTGAGGCTGCAGCTCGGGGGATGATGGTTCATTTCCAGACTCTACCTAATGCGTTTGAGTTGTTTGGTGTTGATTTCATTGTTGATGCTAGTGGGGATGTGTGGCTTCTGGAGCTCAACGCGTACCCCGACTTCGCGCAAACTGGCGAGGATCTGAAGGAGGTTGTTGTTGGGCGCTTATTTGAGGAGGTGGTTGATGTTGCTGTTAAGCCGTTCTTTGGTCTAGGTGACGGAGCTGGCACGGATGACATGAAGCTAGTTGCTGATCTTGATCTCGGGAGACATGCTTAGACCTGGGATTAGAACAGATGACATAGATATACCACTTGTGATATGCAAGAACAAAAGTTTTGATTTGGATATCTCGGGTTCTTAGGTCTATTCTCTTCATGTTGGTTCTACCGAGTGATCTACAAAGTCTTTCTCGGATGCCAATCCACCCCCATTCACCCGCTCAGTTAATTTTCTTCCATAAAATGCGGCCCTCAAACAAACGACGCGCTGTACTAAAGACTGTAGCGGAGGTCAACGCTCCGTCTACATCGAAATCTGCACCAACCAGCAGGTTCCCACTGGCATGACCAATAGTGATGCCAGCACTGTCGACGGGATTCTTATCCACAACGCCAGCCACTGTACTCTGCGGCACACGAGCAGCAGCAGCAAGCGACAAAGCGACAGTAATCGGGACTGCCTGATGTGGCTGTCCAACCGAAATCGCACGAGCCAAAAGATCAACATCAGCAGACGTCTGTCGCTGTTTGATATCCCTGGAATCGGTTGGAGATGGAGTTGCCACGATACAGATCTTAGGTACACTACCAGGAACCGCCCCAATCTCATCCACAATACCCATCTTAACGCCCGCCTGCCGACGAATCGACTCCAAACGCAGCAGTAAATCTGAATGAGCAGTGATCTCATCAGGAGTCAAATTCCCACTCACTCCAAGATCAAGCGCCTGCACAAAGACACACGGATTCCCGACGTCAATGCACGTAGCTCCGATTCCATCAAAGGTATCGACGACATTGCCGGTAGGCAGGAGTTTCCCCGTAACCGAGCCGGCGGGGTCGATAAAGTCGAGCTGGACACGGGCCGCTGTACCCGCGACACCGTCTATAGCAAAGTCCCCGCTGGCGGCAGCTTCGCCATCGACAACAGGAAAAGAAGAACGGATGATCTTGCCGGTGTTGGTGTTGTGGATGCGTACCGAGGCTGAATCCGGGTTGAGATTCTGCAAGGGGAACACATGTGCATCGACGGCGAAGGGGCCGACGGCAGAACTCATGTTCCCGCAATTACTGGAATAGTCAACGTCGGTGTTCTCGATACCGAGCGAGATGAAAGTATAATCGACGTCGGCTTCGGCGTGTGTTGGTGCGCCGACGACGCAGACCTTCGAGAGGCTAGATATTCCACCTCCTAGTCCGTCTAGCTGTCGACCATGGGGATCTGGACTGCCAATCACACTGCGGAATATGGGGGCCCAGTCTGTTCTGTTTGGGGGCAGGTCTTCTTGCTTGAAGAAGACTGCGCGTGAGGTGCCGCCGCGGTAGTAAGCTGCTGGCAGGTAATGTTGCTTTTTGGTTTGGAGATATCGCCGGCTACCGGGTGCCAGTGGGGTGAAGGTTGACCGGCATGGTAGGCGAGATAGTTGTTTGAACATGATGGGCTTATAGTAACATGGGTGTTGTTTGGGGAAGGTCGCAAATGGTCTAAATATCTCGGAGTCACTCCGATGGCGGTGTCGGATCGTTCCGTAGGAGCAAATAGGCCGACTGGCAGAGCATGGGGATGTAGATTGTATTTATCTAATTGCTTTATGAATCTGACAGTAAAGTATACAAGATGTCCAGATCAAAGAGGGCGCATAAACACCCTAATCTTTGTAATTTTCAGCCAAATCGCTGCTTTGCCAGAGCCTGCAAGAAGCTCATAGTCTCCTGCTCCTTCTGTCGATAAGCCTGCGCACGTTCTTCTCGCTCCGCTGTACGCGCACGAAGAATCTCTTCTCTCCGGATCTCACGCTCGTTCTTCTTACGCTGGTCTTTCTCCTTCTCCCGCTTCAAGGTAGAAAACTCATCGCCCCCTCCCATTAAATCTTCATCCCGAGCTGCCTCTGGCGAGCCACCACGCGCGTCCGCGAATGCACGGTTGCTCAAAGCAACTTCTCGTCGCTTCTCGAGCTGTCTCTCCCGAGTGCCCGCCTCAGCCCGCGGGGCAATCTCGTCCTGGAGATAACGCATTTCGGACTTATGCGAACGAATTTCAGCATGGTATTGATCGCGTGACTCACCGCGAGCAGCGATCGCATCCTCCATAGCAGATTCTGGAGGGAAATCAGCACTCTAGCCATATTTGGGAGAAGGAGAAAAGCGTACCTCGTTTGAGCTCAAGATCTTGCATGGTTGGGATTGTAGGGCCTACTTGTGGACCGCCTCTCCCTGAGCCAGCTTGTGGGAGACTAGGCCCGTACTCGTCATCGTCATCCTCATCGTCATTGCCTACTGGAGGATCCCGTGGGGCTTTGCCAGTCGCTCGCTGGCCCCGCGTGTAATCAGGCGATTCGCGTCCGCCTCTAGGGCCAGCTGCCGGTTCTTCTTCTGCACTCCGGCGTGCTTTGTCAAGTGTGACGGGATCATACCATCCCTCCGCGAGTTCTCCACGGTTCCTGTGATGTCAGTTTATGTCGCGTCAGGCAATGGACACCCTTATGTTTACCATTTTTGTGTGAAACTCTTCCACCGCCCCCTCACCTCATCTTCACTCAAGTCTTCGATATATTTTCCTTTTTGAATATCCAAGTACATGCCAAACATAGGCTCGTAAACCTTCAGGTCACGCCCTGAGAGCTCGCGCGCTTGGTAAGGGAGCACGATTGGTTTCGACGGGGCATCTCTATGTCGTCGCTCGAGGTGTCCGCGGTCTTTGTCCTCGCCACAACGGTGGTGACGGTCTGATCTATGTCTGTCAGATCGGTGTGGAGACCGTGAGCGCGAGCTCTCTCGGGGTCGGTGGCGGTGGGAATGGCTGTGGCGGCTGCGGTGATGGCGGCTTGAGCTTGGAGCAGAGGGAGAGGCAGCTCGGTGCGATGAGCGAGTTGGTGAAGGCATTTTGGCTCGTTTCCTTCGTATTTGAGATGTTCTGGAAAGTCTGGAGAGATTTGTCTTCTGGGGTGATAAAGAAACACAGGTCGGCTTATCGGTTCGGTCATCCGATTTCCAGGATTGTCCCCGGGTTTTCGATTTCAACGCATTCCTACATTCTTCATCTTAGTTTTGTTAACTTCCGCTGTAGATTGGCACCGAAAGAAAAGCTTCCGTTTTACGGGAGGAATTGCTTTCACGGTTTTTTCTGTTTTAAAACTTTATTATGATAGATACAATTAGATGAAGAGGTATACAAAATCCTATAATCTAGTAAACCTAGTTCAACTTTAACTGGAAGGAGCACTCTGCTCCAGGCTCGGGCTAGCAGTGTTTTCGGCAGGTGTAACAGGTGTACTCGACTGCGAATTGGCCTTGGATCGATTGGCCGCGGCCATTTGCCATGCCGGGATGGACGCAGAGCGACCAAGTTGCGAGAGGGGGTTAGGGCTCTGGCTTGTGCTCGCTGGGATAGCGGTAGGGGTCGGCTCCTGTTCAGGTGGAGCCACAGTAGCAGCCGAGGTGTTGGTTGCGGCAGGAAGGGGGGAAGTGGCCGGGGTCTCTTCCGGTGCCGGGCGAGGAGTACTGGGGATGGAAGTAGACCCAACGGTCCTGCCAGCAATAGGGGTAGCTCCACCACCACCAAGTCGGTTGCTCAGCAAGGTCTTCAAACTCTTGAGCTCAGTGCCGAGTTCCTTCAGTCGATTCTCGTTGCCTTCTCGGGCACCTTCAAGGGCCTTGGGAATGGCATCCTTCAGTGACTTCACTTCGTCGCTAATGCGACGAGTCTCATCATCTCTTCGGCGGGATGAGCTCTTGAGATCAACAACAAGGTTCTCCACGTCCTTGAGAGCCTTGTCCAGGCGCTCGGTACGTGCTTCCTCGGCGGTCTTCAATGCAGCGGTGTCGGTCGATAGTTGCTCGATCAGAGTAAATGCACGCGAGAACTGCTCATCGATGTTTTCTTTATCTTGCTCCAACTGGGGAGGGGTCGGTGGCGCAATCAAAGGTGCGATATAACGCTGAGTGGATTGATCAGCGCCATTGGTTTTGAGAGAGGGGACAACTGGATACCTTTGTGACGGTATACAACCCATAGCCAACTCCACCCACCACTGTCGCCATAATAAACCAGTCCCGCCAATCTCTTTTGGGTGGCCTTTTCAAATGGTTAGTCTCAAAATCCCATGCGACAACCGACGGATAAACTTACTCGGGAGGTGGCTGCCATTGATTATATGAAGTATAGCCATGTGCTTGAGGCAGCTGTCGTTGCTGGTAAGTAACTGGCTGTGAAGAATAGCTAGGTGTCGGGGATGCTGAAACTGTAGCTGCGCCCGCGGCAGACGAGTCTTCGCCCACTCGCGATAAGGCAATATCCACTTCCTCTTGAGTCAAGTTCTTGGATTGAAGGAATAAGACCCTCTTCTCAATGGGTGAAGAAGCAACCGATGGGTCCTGGAGGACTAGATCAAGTCAGCGATTATCACATGTCAAGTTGTGCCCCTCGTAGTCCATACAGGTAATCTAGCGGACAGATGAGTTAGCGATGGCTCTGAAAGTGAATTATAGTAGACAGTGAAAGAAGGGCAATAGAAAACTTACAGCTGAAGTAATAAGCTCCTCTCGTGGAGCCATTATGATTGATGTCGACAACCAGTGGAGTGTAGGAAGAATGAATCAGGGACAGATGCGACGCTCACATCGGGAATCGCCATTTGGACCTCGGAACTCGCGCCAACGCCAAGACTTTCCCCAGACCGGGAGTCTCGTGATTTTCGGCCAGACTGTTTTTCCGTGTGCCAACACCGCCTACCTCGTTTGAAAGCGGCACGCATTTGTTTACCTCGCCGAAATCCCGCCTTGTGCCTACCAAACAACAGATCAAACCCCGCCTCTCGGATTTTGTGGTGCAACCCAGTTGGACGTGGAATGTTTGTCTATAAATCACATATCCAAACCCCGTTGTAAAAAGAATCGCCTTGTCTATTGCCGCCTTCGCGGCTTGATCATCACCATGTCGCAAGACACTGGGCTTTTCAGCATTAAACGCTCCCGAGAAGTATAGGTCCCTCCTATTAAGCGCAAGACTTGGGGCTAATTTTTATTGTGATCAAGACTCTTGGGAGTGTGCAGAATTTCTCTGCCATCCCCCAACCGCAGTCGGCACTGAAGCGCGCAAGCTCTATCGGATTCCAAAACCCCCCGTTCAGCTCACAGAACCACCGAACTTCCTTGATGGGCTCCACTGGTCGCCCGCAGCAGCCCAACTTTACGCGCATGTCAATTGGTGGACCATATGGCGCTGATGCCGGTCTTTCATCTGTTCGTCGATCAGTGTCAAGCAATATGTTCAGTGGAGCTAGTGCCAGTCGGCAAAGCTACGCTCCAGGGTCTCTTTCCTCCAATCCTGCGATTCCTCAAAACCCACAGCGCAGAAGCAGTGTGTTTTCGCGACCATCCACGGGAGGAGGGCCGATGGGACATCAGTCGTTCTTCACTCAAGTTCCCACTGTTGCTGGTGTTCCCAGGGACCCGCGCCCTCTCAGAGACCGATCTTTCCAGGCACGAATTGGTCAGGAACTGTTAGAGTACTTGACTATTCATGGCTTTGAGTTGGAAATGAAACACTCCTTGGGTCAGAACACTCTTCGCTCGCCGACCCAGAAGGATTTCAACTATATCTTCCAGTGGCTATACCATCGAATCGATCCAGGATACAAGTTCCAAAAAGCAATGGACTCCGAAGTACCGCCAATCCTGAAACAGCTAAGATACCCGTATGAGAAAGGCATTACAAAGTCGCAAATCGCGGCCGTTGGTGGCCAGAACTGGTCGACCTTTCTCGGAATGCTACATTGGTTAATGCAATTGGCACAGATGATGGATCGTTATCAGTCCGGTGAGTATGATGATGCCTGCGCCGAGGCGGGTGTCGATGTCACTGGTGATCGCATTATTTTTCGGTTTCTCACTCAAGCCTACCACGATTGGCTGCAGGGTGGTGAAGACGAGGATGATGACACCGCAGAGAAGCGGTTGATTCCGCATGTCGAAAACATGTCGCGAGAATTCGCTCAGGGAAATGAGCGGTACGTCCAGGAAATGGAGGCCTTAGAGACGGAGAACCGGGCTCTCCGCGACCAAATTGAAGAAGTGGAGAAGAGTGCTCCCGACATCGCCAAGTTGGACAAGCACTTCCGTATCTTGGAGGATGACAAGAGGAAATTTGAGGATTATAACCAGAACGTCAAAGGCAAAATTGAAAAATACGAGACTCGCATCAAGTTCCTCGACACGGAGATTCAAAAAACCGATACCGATCTTCAGGCCACTGAATCTGAACGCTCCGATCTGCAGGCTAGTGTTGATCGCCAAGGTATCACTATCCAGGATATCGACCGCATGAACTCTGAGCGAGAACGTCTACAGAAGAATCTCGAAGACACTGTGGCTCGCCTAGAAGAGGCCCATGCCCGTGTCATGGAGAAGGAAGCGGAAGCCAGCCAAAAACTAGAAGATCTGGAACAGATCGTGAAAGCTTACAATACTCTTGGCTACCAAACTAGCTTGATTCCCGCGGCTGCTGAGAATGCCAAGGGCCAAAATTATGAGCTTCGCCTGCACATCAATGAGAGTAACTTCTCCGCTAGCCAGATTGGTGGTCCTCCCAACCGAATTTCTCCCGAGGGGGATCGCCTATTGGCGGAACCTTTCACTGGCTACCACCCTGCGCATTTGCTCAGTCTGGATCTACGGGGCTCTGTCCGAAACAGTCTGCAATCACTCCGGAAAGAGATCAATGAACGACGGAAGCAAGGGATCGATGACGACCTTGAACGTCGCAATCTTCTCGACAACATCAAAGAGGCAATGGATGAGAAACGAAGCGAGGTCGAGGCCCTGGAGCATCGACGCCGAGCAGCAGAGGAAGAGTTCGAACGAACAAAGGAAATCACGACCACTCAGAAGCTGGCCTCCGATGCCCAAATTGAGAAGATGGAGAAGGAGTTGGCGAAGATGCGCGCTACTCTCAGTGACAGTGTGCAGTTGATGGAGCAGCGCGAGATGAATACCAATATCGAATATGAGCAACTGACGCTTCGAGCAAATTCTCTGCGCGAGGAGTTGCACACTAATGTCGAAACAATGCTTAACGACGTGATTCGCTTCAAAGTACATGTTCAAAAAGGCCTTGAGGACTACGAAAGCTTTGTCGTTGACGAGGTGGAACAAGAGCTTGGTGGTGATGAAGTTTTTGAAGAGGAACTTTGAAGTTGATGATTTCACGATTTGGTGTTCAATTTATAGTGTTGGTTTCATGTACAATACCCCGGATCAGTTGAGGATGCGCAATGCACATATCGTTTTAGTGGATTTTTAATAACAATCTTTTTGTAAAAGGCTGCTTAGGTTGAAGCACAGGGAGAAAAGCAGTCGAGACAGAAACAATTCGAAAGTAAGTCTAGCATGATACACGAAAAAAAAACAGAAAAAAAATGGGCCTAGGGGGGAGTCGAACCCCCGGTCTCCGTGTTCCTGTAGATGTATACAAGCACGGCGCGTTAACCACTGCGCCACTGGGCCAATTTTAATTATAGTTCGAAATTTGCAGCAATATCTAGGTGGCCAGACTCACAGATCACACTGTTTGGACCCTTCTATAGACCTACCTTTCAAGTTTCTAAAATCTACATACACTAGCCGTACATAAAGATTTGACAAAGAATCGTCAAGAGAAATGAGATTTGCGTGCATCTATCTCTTCCTACCATGACGCCCTCAAAAATATTCACTGGTCGGTTCATCTTAATCATGGCGACGTCCCCGAGTAGACCGGTACGTCTTTGGTAAAGAGTGAGTTACCTTTATGCTACAGACTTCTACACTTCATTCTAAACTTATCTTCTATCTATGACAGGATCTGATCGAAATTTTTCACAACACTCTCCCCTGGGAACTTAGGACCCACGAGTTCTGGCTACCATACAAAAACAGATCAGACCAAAGAAGAACACGCCACTGCCATCCTTCTTCCCTTGCGCTTCCAAGACATACAACGTTACTCCCCGTAACTCAGGCTGGGTTTTCCATTTCAAGGAGGTCTAGAGTCATATGTTCCTTGTAACGGGTAACCAATTTCGCACCCGCCACAGCTTTTGTTGGGACCAGTACAACTTTTCCATCCGCTGAAAGTAGCTGGCGTCCGTCTCTCCGTCTTCCCGTAGTGTGTCCACAGCCCTGGAGCAAAGTCTAGGGTGACATATGCTGATAGCAATAGGGATCCTCGAATCTGGGGTTTTCTTTCTGGCCACATCGGAATACTTTGCCCTTGGGCATGGCAATACACTTGATATTCAGTTTTTGTTTAGATTTCTGAATTCTGAATATTCCACCCTGCGCACTGCTTAGTTCAAGCCAGAGATTAAACACACCCAGCCCGTTACCCAGTGTTAATAGGCTTGGCACGACTATGGCAATTTAAACGGCTCATTAACTCAACTTCTTTTTAGCGTCTATTTTTGATCCGTTTACGCTACTCGAGAAGATCGGCCCCTTCAACTATCGCGACTGAACTTAACAAGGGTAGTTTGGTGGTCCCGAGGCTGGCCTAAGCCGGGTCCGTGCCTTTCTTGTATGCATGTGGTCCGTCCCCGCGAAGGATTGCATTTTTTTTTTGGCACCGCTAGTACACGCTAATGCTGGAAGTGGCCTTGGTTAGGGTAATTTGAGCTTCGGAATTGAGCTATCGACTAGCGCCATTCCGCCAAGCTTGTGCCAAGAGCGGAAAGGGCCTCGAGTGGTTGAAGGTCTGTGGCCAGCTGATTTAAATTCTAGGATCTGGAGGATTTGGCCATAATGATGTTGTTCTGGACGTTAGATTCGTCTATACTCTACAGCCCCAAAACGAAAATTTTAATGACTTTGTGAGTGCTTGGTCGATCCTGATATCTCTCTTAGACATCTGCACACAACGGCGGACCTGCTTCCCAATAACGTCGAGCCATCCTCATTAAATGCCGGCACTGGCAGCATTGCCATTGATGTGAAAGGCAACATATACAACACAGCGACGATGGCCAACAAGAATTTCGCGTGATTGCACCAAACGGGACAACCATTTTGTTGGTGCGCGATACCAGGCTGAGCTGAGTGGACCCGCTATGGATCGATCTGTAGCAGGACCTGTGGATGTGCGCTTTGCAGTTGTTTCACAGCGCTCGCTTTGTGCAGCCAGGTATTAGGACCAACAATATTGCGAAGCCTACTTATGCCTACAACTTTGAGACCGGCAATAATCCGTCTCCAACTGGCCATGCTTAAGCCTACTGTAGGATGTTCTTTGAGCTTGCTTTCGGCCAAAAATTGGGTTCAGTATGGAATTACCGCAGAGGGCATGGAGTAAACTTCTCGTCTGAGACGATGAAAATCCAAGGACGGGGATAGTGAGCGAGTACGGAATAGAGACCGTACAACGTTGCCAGCTACTTTATTGACATTCTCAGTTGCCTTTCCACATGTGCTAAGATGGAAAAATAATTCTATGTCATGGTGAATGCACACGGGCAGGTGTGGCTGGCTTTCCGAGTTACGTTGGCGTCTTCTTGCAAGCTTTGACTAGTTCAACGCATCATTCCTATGTGGGTATCAAGTTAATTAAAACTTTCCCAGATCTATTAAAGTGCCAGAAGGCGTTACTTGACTAAATTGGCCGATTTGACCCCGACCATATAGGTTTTTTATAGACTGTTCTATTAAAAGCGATACGAAGTATAACGTTTGATCTCGACAGAGCGAATTAGCGTGTAAGATTTTGGTCGAAATGCTCAAATCACACCCATTTACAAGAATCTGAGAGATGAGGGATCGAAATCCTTCTAGGGAAAAGAAATGCTACAAATCAGATGCTTCAATGAGATACTACAACGAGTATTCCGTACTCAACACAATGTTTCTGGACTGTCTTGGCGCGGCATGCCGTCTTTTAGGACTCCGCCAATCTCCATCGAAGCAGGATACACCTCCTTCGTCACCCAAGTGATCGTCAGGAGCGATGTGCAGAATAAGTGGAGATCTGTCATTCACCTGCTCTATCTGTGTCTTTCTTGTCTGAAACAATTTGCTCCGCGCAATTTACGGCCATTCCGTCCACCATCTGTACAGTTATTCCTGGTTCCACTGTTATATGCCGTGCCCCGGGTGATAGGGCTATTTTTCCATCGATGAATATCTCTCCCTGAAATCTTTCGCCATGGGATGGGACTTGCTCCCCTGCAGATCCAAATCCTCTCAGGGAACAAAGAGTGTTTCGGCAATCTTTGAACGCTCTTTTTGACGACTCGGTCCAACATTTTGACTCTCAACAATGATACATAAGGGGTATATGACCAGCTAAATCCTGTTTTCGCGGTTGTTTTTCAACTACCAGTGCCACGCACCCTCATTCGTTTCCAAAGCTTCAAGTCTTTCTTTACATTGTTCCCTCTTGCATCCATTCATTCCCGACTTTCACTTTCTCAGTATCCAATAACTTAACCCTCATGAAGTTCACTGCCGCCTTTGGTGTTGCTGCCCTATTCATGGGCCCGTCTGCTGCGGCCTGGAAGCTGCCTGTAAGAATCAACTCTGCACATCCTCAATTAGAAATCGTTCTTTGCTGAAATTATCTCCCCAGCACGCTAACAAGGCTGACGCTGCCACTCCTATCGGTTCTCCTCCCAGTGGCTTCCCTGAAGGTTTCCCATCCGGAACCCCAACTAGGACCCCATCTAGATTCGCATCTGGAACCCCATCTGTCACTCCATCCGGAATTCTATCTGAAACTCCAACTGAGTTCCAAACTGGATGGCCTACTGGATTCTCCTTTAGCCGCCGAGCACCTGGTCACGGTCCTGGTCCCAAGGGACCCGGACACGAAGGGCACAAAGGACACGGTCAGGGACCTAAGTTCACCCGCTTCCCCATAAGCTCTCCTACCAGTGTGCCTCCTGGATTCCCTGAATCCACCGGTGCTCCCCTTGGGTTCCCCGCTGGCTTCTCTGGTAGCCAGGCCTCTAGCGCTTCCTTCGCCGTTTTCCCTATCGCGACCACGACTGTTGCTACTGTTAGTGAGCAGGGAGACTTTGCACGTCGTCACTCTCGTCAGATGCTGTTTTAGATACCGCATGTTGCAGCTTTGCTCGTACAGTATGTGAAATAGATTATTACTGAGTTTACTGTGGCTGCTGGATCAGCTGTAGAGAAGAGCCTGTAGCTATTTTCGAGTCTTCCCGGGCATCCGATATGGTAGTATTCTAGAGAAACTGTGTACATATGACAGAACTGTTCTCGTATAGGAGACTACAAGTTCTGACTTCCCTGTAGAACCCTAGCAAAGGGTCTTATCGACATGCGCCAGGAAACAATATTTCTACAGCCCACCACATCACCACATTGCAGATTTCGGATCGATTGGGAGGTTCTCTTTTTTTCGTATCTGGAACTACAAAAGAGTTCACGAAACCACTCGAAAAGCACTCCATGGTGTAGCAAGCCATAGTCAGCTCACCGGCAGATTTTCACGATGATTAAAATTTCTAGAAATCTACTTGAGGCGTGTTTAAAGTTACTTAACACTGTCTAAACTAGCCCCCACCGAAGACCCCTAACAATCCCTATTTTGCCTTCGTCGCCGGTCTTCGTATAATTTTTACTTACAAATCCGAGTTTCACTCAGGTCGTGTTTTTATGCACTGGACGCTAATCATGAATCGGTTCTTTCTAGCTGCAGCATCACGCGGAACGAAAACGCCTACATCGCTGTTGACTTGCTGGCAACGCTTTGAAGCAAGTTCAACTTGAAGGGGCTTTGGGTTGCACCATAGCTACCGGGAAGCTTCTAGTAGAATTTCGTCTCTCTGACTCTCTCATGAACTACAAAACTTTGGGACTTGCTCGGAGATACATGACAATATAGACCTCCAGGGCTGCATTGGAAGTATAAGGAACTCCGCATTCTGTGGCCTCCGATTGGTTCATAGCTCGGTGCTGACTCAGCAGTTTCTGATCTCCAAAATTCTCGAAACAACATTTACACCTCATCTCCCTCATCTTTGCTCATTTGCCCCTGTTGGTACGGGGCTCAATTGAATCTCGTGGAAAATCCCGCTATGTACCTGTGAAATCGACATGTATCAAGCCAATCCCGTACCCATCGAGATCGCGAAACCTATACACCCGCCTTTGAGCCTCGTCGCGGTACCATGAGCAGGTGCTTGCGCCCCGGCCGCATCCTGCCATTCGGTCGCAGGCCAGCTGCTTCACGCATCTCTTTCTTCCCATATCGATCCGAGGCTCATTTCTCTCGGCCCACGTGGACTCAATTTACCCAGAAAACTCGCAATGACCTGAGAGAGATTAATTTCCCAGATGAAGTTCTTTTCCTACGCCAATACAATTTAATCAAACACCCTCGCCTCAGGCATGACCAGAAGAGACATATTGAGGAATGGATGCCATTGCTGAGGGATTGTATTCCACCAAGAATCGCCAAATCACCAGACGTCGTCCAACCTGCAGGCCAGCCCAGGCGGCTTCGACCACTCCGCGAATCCGAACATGAGCTTGATCGGACCCACGCTCTACTGGGGTGCCTATGGGATGGAAGGATTCATTTCGAATTTCACCTTCTTGCAAATCTTGGATTTGCACACCATGAGTGGTCTAATGTGCAGGCTCTTCTAAACAGCTTGATTGACACCTATGAATTGCTAGCTCCTCATATGCCCCCTAAACACCCTTCGCCTGGGCTTGATTGGAACAGACCATTTCGCGTGCGCCGCAGAGATGAGTCAACTTCTGATCCGGTGTCTCCCATCACCGAGGAGGTCTCCCTCAGCAAGCTCACGGGAGGCACAAAATCAACATCTCCTTGGAAATGGTCTCATCTAAAACCTATTCCATCAGACAACATTTCTCTTGATACTCTGACGGTGGAACCTGCCCCAAGGTTTTTTGGAGAGAGAATCTTGGCTGAAATACTCGCAAACCTTGGCTCTCTAGTTTTGTTTGCTGCGCGCAGTCGATCAGTCGATTCGAAGCATGCAATGTCCTGTGTATTCCGAACTCTTGCCCGTTTACACCATGCAGGCATGATCTCTGACAGAGTTTATCAATATCCGAAACCAGATGCCAGTCAGATTGTATTTCGCCCGCCAGCGCTCCATCTATTGTCAAATTCTATAATGAGCGTTTTGTCCGACGCGGCATGGCATGAACATGAAACAACAGTGGCTGCAGCAGCCGCTGGTGCAGGAAAGCCGTCACCTTTCATTCCCTATACACCTGGAATCCGAGAGCTGGGTCCCGAAATCTGGCTTGAGCTCATTCTATGGTGTTGTGTGGAACATGGGTTCTGCAGAACGGGCACGCTGCTGGTGCATCAAATGACTCGGTTTAGTGAATGGAAGGCTGAGAGTTGGGCGCCTCTAATAAATGACCTTGATACAGTACAACAAACTAATGTCAGTATCGAGCAATCTTGGCGTCGACCAGGCCAAACCGTGAAACCTCCAACACTCAAGGGTCAGGACAAAGCACCATTCAATGGACTTGGATACCGCACTATCAGCTCTGAGGTGGTTGCATCGCTACGGAGTGGCTTGGCGAACAAAGCTTATGTGGGAATGGGAGATCGTGGATACCTTCCTGAGGATCTCACCAATTTATCAGCCCCTCTGACTAAACTTATTGACCCTCCCGTGTCCAGCCGTCAGGAGCTTCGGCCAACAAACAAGTTCACCAATTGGCACATTGCACGGATATTGGCCTCGGGCTGTTTGAAGCCATCCTCTGATCCTGTTTCCTTCGAGCATCTCCTAAGGTCCCAGAACAATGTTGTTCCTCCGTGGGAAGGGAATGAGTTAAGCCTGGCACAAGTGTTGAATGGGAAAACGCGGGCCCAATTCTATGATGAATCGGCAGCTATGACTGGCCTGATTGAATTTAATCTCAATTATTATGCTCGGGACAAGCAAAGTGGACGCCTTTTCCACGAGTATGCTTGGCTCCAAAATATTGCCGATGCAAGCAAGGCTCAGCACATCCAAAAGTTCTTTGAACGGATAAGCCAAGCCAGCGATGAAGAAGCTTCTTTTTTGTTTGATTTCAAATCTTTCGAGCCTCAAGATATCTCTCAATCGTCCATCCCGCAGCTATCATGCGCCACTTTTGCCAATCTCCTTGATGTGGCGACAACCACCCACGCGTTTGATTTTGGCCAACAACTACTCCTGGACAATGACATCGATGGCCCTGCCATCCCTCAAAGCGCATATCGAAATCAGGCCTTAGCGCCATCTATTCTTCGATTTGCAGCTGCCACTGGTAATGTCGAGCTCGGCGAGCGTGTCATCGGGTCGCTCGCGATCCCTCTTTCAGTGAACACCATTAAATCTTTGGTCAACTTCAGTATCGCACGCAAAGATTGGAAGCGTGTGGTGCTGATGCTTAACTTCCTGACCGAGCATCGGGCTAAATCCTGGGGCTACATCAATATCGGCGTACTGGCAAGTGCAGTAATTCGACTCGATGCCACCGTTAGACATAAGACAGCTGCTGGCACCTTGACCCAGGTAGATACAGAAGACCTGAACCAGGCCACAGACATCTTGCTCCGCCTTTTCCGCGGCGAGTGGCATGCTAATAGTACTCGTGAGAAAGTCAGGAACTTCCAGCTTCGAACACTCTCTCGTATGCACCGCGTACTCTCTGTCATCCCAGGCCCTCTACCGGACATCCTCAAGCAAGTGGAGGCACCTAGGGAAATCACCGGACGCCACAAGGCCACTTTGATCCCCCCAACCACCTTCCACGAGATCTTCGCTGCTGTCGTGGAGACGCAGGGTGCCGTCGCTGGCAAGCAGCTCTGGGACAAAGTCTGTGTCGACTGGGTATCTCCGAAGCGTCAGCTCCAATCTCCAGGCGGTGTTGCCCGGCTGCTGTTCAGCGACGAACGGGCCAATTCACACGGTTCCCCAGGATGGGACGCAGATTACATCAATCATGTCCGAAGCAAAGCCACGATAGCAGACCTCAACACCGTCCGCATCCTCGCACGAAGTGCCGTCCGAGAATATGCAGAAAGCGTCAAAGAAACCACGGACGGACGGCTCCGTGGCCGCAATCCCAGTCCCAAAACACCCCAACCCAAGACCACCGATTCTCTCAAGACCGCCTCTTCTCCCTCTTCTCCCTCTTCTTCCTCCTTCGTCTACGACTCCACTGTCCCATATTCACCCTCCATCTCCCGTAAGGAATACCCTTACCAACTAAAGTCCGGCAAGATGCCACAAACAGAGCTCGAGTCCATTCTTGACTTCTGTCTGGAGACGTTCCTCAAATTCGGACTCCCGGAAGACCAAGTCGACATCGAGATTCCCGGCCACATGCGCCGCATGCAGCTTAGAAAGGTATTTTCTTCGCCCACGCGCAGGCCAGTTAGGATGCGGATCAAGTACAACAGGTCCGATCCTTTCATGCGATCTCACTGGCCAAAGGAATTGGCAGAGTCTTTGCCGAAGCCGGAGCTGGCACCGGAGCCAGAGCCGAAGTGGCCTTGTGATAATCACAAGATCTAGGATGTGGATGAGATGACTTTTTTTTCTCTTGAGTCCGGTCCTGTGTGTATTTTTATTTTCACAGTAAAAACTATTCTCGAATGTAAATACTTTTTTTTTCTCCTACTCCATGGACCAATTGTCCTCAGGAGGCTGTGTAATTGTGACAAGGCGATTCTGCGGGTTGGATGCTCATTCTCTGATATGTTGATTGCGCTTGGCAAGACGACCAGGTTGAAAAAAACAAGGTGAGTTTGGGTATCGGAAGTCGTAGTCCTAGGATTCCACGCTAATAAATCCCCAGCGCCAGCTAGAAACCAGCTCAGACCCCTCAAACCCCGCAATATGAGTCCAGCTCTAGACCCAGGCACAGCCCGGATCCTTCAAAGTCTTCTCAATGCTAATATCGTGCATGTGCCTGAAGAGATGTCATGCGCGTTTGTCTTTGCTTATGTCTAGGCATCATCTGGATATCACTTTCGAGGCATCCAAGCATTGGTTTACCATTATGAGCCTGCAAAGAGATGGTAGGTAGATCAAGGGGAAATAGTTTGCAAAATGAAGAGGGAAAAAGTGAAATGGGCATCACATCACACACGTGTGAAGTGAAGAAGGAAAATACTATAACATGGGTAATATAGAGAACAGGGTGTGAAAAAAAGATTATGAAGGTTAATAGGTTTAAAAAAGGGTTCCTAGGCATATGCTGTAGATGGGACGATTTGGAGATGGAATATGATAGTTGTGCTGAAGGGCAATTAATGAGTGGGAAAGTCAGTCGACAAAAGATAGTATGATACTTGAGAACCTGCATGCTTTTGTCGTGTTCTTGTATGGAATTTGGTGGTCTCGTATACAAGGAATTCGTGAGTATGGGCGATAAAAGTTTTCAAGATTCCCAGTTCTCGTTCTCATGAGAATGAGGAAAGAAAGAACGCATAAACTCCCCGCTGATGGAATCATAAGGGAAGTACGAGTCCTGGGCCTCAACGGTCAAGGAGTCCATCAGGTCCGCAGTCGGGAAGCTCGGGTAGATGTGCTGGTCTTCACCAGGCGGTGCATCCGGAGCAGACACCGGGAGGTATTCTAGCTGCGGGCCCCGGTAGTCACCAGTTGCATGAGAGATAGACTGGTTGGATGGCGGGTTTGAGCTGATAGTGGATGTAGGCTCTGGGGTATATGGGTAAGAAGGCATGTCGTTGACGTCGTACTTCATGCCCTGAGCCAGTTTGCGGAGGCTGAGGTCGCAGAGCTGCCAGGCGCGTCGAGAGGCAATACTCTGCTCGGACATTGCGAAGAGCCAACGGATTGCCTTCTTAGACAGACCAATGAAGTTGTTTTCTTCTTCTGGCATGTGAACGGTGCCGAAAGACAGCTCGAGGAGGAGAACGGTCGCTGCTTGCATGAGATAGTGGAGGATGCACCACCATGGAGCAACTCGGTAGATCTGGAGAGCATCTGGCTCATCCGGGATCAGATCCAGCATGTGCCGTGCAGACTTCAGGGTGACCACTGCCATTTCGTGACTGAAGGAAGGAGTAGGTCCCTGGCGCGCGTCACGCCGGCAGAGACAGGGGCGGCCTAGTGTGATCCGCGCACTGTAATAATGCAGCGCTAAGGTCAGTTTGTAGCGAAGGATATCTGGTGCATTGTCTTCCTTGCGTGTAAAGTCGAGCCCGATTGGAAGGTTGGATTGCCATGTCTCAGTTCGGAACTTGAGTTCACCAATCCGGGTCTCAATTTGTGCCCATGGTATCATCACGCAGTCCACTGAGTAGACTCTATTGACGATTTCTTGCACTATGACTGACAAGTCGCAATAGTAGAGATAACAGAGCCCGTAGTTGACAGGCAGGTTTTGGATCCATGTCGTGTCTCGTGCTCGAGTGTGACCACTGGCATCCTTACCATTTACCGGGTGGAACGGCATTTGTCTGATAGACGCACTTGCCACGATGTTGTTGATTCGTTCGTCTCGCAGTGTAGTGTTTGTGAGTACTTCCAGAGCACTGGGCTCTTGTAACTGTTCTTCTTCAAATGGAATCGGGAAAGGCGAGGTCCACACTCCGTCCTGGACACAAGTTGCCCGACCAGTCATTATTCCGAGCATGTGTTCAAATGTATAGAGACACCACCAGACTCGGTAGCGAGCTTCTTTTGAAAGATCGGGTGTGGTTGGACTGCTGCTTTTCATGTTGATTCCAAGTGTGATTGCAGACCGCACTGCCAAGGCCGAGATTCTCCACGACCTATGCTAAGTGTTACAGTCTGCTCGCTTCGGGGAGTAAAAGGAGGCTCTTAAACTCACCGGTTGATTTGATCAGAAGCGAGAAGATAGAAGGCAATCAAGCCCTCCACCTGGACTTGCTGGAGATCAGGATGGCTGAACAGGACATCGCCGTTCATACTAAGAATCCTAGCCCTAGTCAGATATACCAAGTGGTCCTTCTCGTCCCCACGCCACGGTGCGTCGATGAGATGGCCATATTTAGCTCCGATTGCGAATATCATGTTCAAAATAGCCAGCCACTTGTCACCGGGTTGAGCAGCGCTGTCAAAGAACGTCCGGTATTGTGCAGAAAAAAGAGGTTTGTTGATAATGGGGTAGAACGGATGCACGGTAGCCAAATACGCCTCGAACATGTGATCCGCCACCTCTCGAGAAGGCATGGCATACAATTGTACCGGTCCGGGCACGGAGATATCCAAGTCATCCAGATGATAATTGACCGCATGCAGGGATAATGCATTATCGGTCTGGAAATCCTGCCCTGGCTCCAGACTCCCCGGAAGACCTTTAGCCCGTTGGTCTGCTTCTCTATGAAGCCGTTGCATCCAGGTAATTTCTGAGTTTTTCCCCATGTAGCCAGTCGCTCTAGCATGTTCCGATCGATTGATGTCCTCTTCTACTCGATCAATTGCCTCAAGAGACCCGATAGACGAAGGCGAAGTCGGCTCATCGTTTTCCGGAATGTCATCATGAGGGGTTACTGATTGAGACTGAGAATTATGCGACGAGTAATCCACTTCCGGTCCATGCTGTATTTGCCAGTGTTAGCAATACTCCGGTGTCCCGAAAAAGAAGGAACTACCTTGTCCAACAAGCTCCTGATCCGTTCCGCGGCATTGAAGTCAACAAGGCCCCCCAAATCCTTCAGCAGGTTCTCGTATTCTAGTGCTTTCTCCGAGAGGGTTTTGATTTGTCTGTATTGCGCAAATAGTCGATCAGCATGCTTGGTTGGGATTGCATTTATAGCCATAGATATACGCACTTCTTCGTTCTTTCCCTCCAACCCTCGGGGTAGCTACATGTAGCCCTTAACTCGCGGCATTGGCGACAAACCGGAGTGTCACCACTACATTTTGTCTTGCGCTGCCTGCAGGATGCGCACGCGCGGGGCACTCGCCGATTATAGCGCGGGGCAGTTGCGACCCGTTGCCGAGGAATGGCAACTTTAGTGTGTGCGGCAAGTGCTTTAGTCGGCCGAGTCAGAGCTTCATTGGCTGTTTGGGGGCCTGTCGTTGCCAATGTGTTTGCGACGGAAAGAGGGCGGAATCTGGCGGAGCCGAGATCTGGTGTGATTTGTTGAACGGACGCCTCGCTTTGAGAAACGACGCCGTCATAGTTCAGCTGTGCAGGCGCTTGCTCGACCGTCATGGTCGCAAAGTCTCTGTGTATGTTAACTAAGGAGTGTTTGGAGAGTCTCAATCGTTTTGCCTTCCTGCGGTCCTCAGGCCCTATGGGGTATAAAGTTGCGACGAATAATAGGGCTGAATTCTCATATGTGAGGGCCGAGAAATGATGTATGTACAAGGGATATTAAGACCCATTAACGGCAGCACAACATTGTACCTTGGACGGGAAAAGACAGTAGAAATCTGAGATTGAAATCGCCGAGTGGCGGAATATGCGCAACCTTAGAATCTGTGGACCAACCCTCGGAGATTATAAACTGCCCGCTTTCCTAATTGAGTACGGCTTAGTCAGGAACAGTTCTCGTGGGATTTGAAGATGATGAACATAAAACTTGAATTCATGGTAACAAACGCTAGTGATTTTTGATACTTTTGAGTAAAGCCATTCCTCCAGCCGTGAATATCCTCCCAACATACCCATCCAGGGTAAGTAATCCAAAACATATATATACAAGAGAAAATAGGCATTAGCGAGGGAAAAAAAAAGGTAAGAAGGGTGCGCCGAGAAGACAATGAACATGTACAAGCAAGGCAAGAAAGAGGTAAAGAGAACACAGCGGGTCACAGTCCAACCAAGAGTGGAGAGCAAGACAGGGAACATAAACCGATGGTCGAGTTTAGTTTAGAATTCACCAAACATCTCGTCGAGCTCATCGACTTCCACCATCTCCGGATTTTGCAACTCTCTCCAGGACTCGAAGACGGGCTCCGATTTCATGGAAATGGCCCGAGGGGTAAGGGTGAGTCTCTCATGGGACTCGGTCAGATCCGACATCTTCAGATCGACGTCCGGAAGGCCGCTGTTCAACATATCAAGCGAGCGCTTGAGGGTCGAAACAGGTGCGGCATCGAGGTCCACGGGGAGACTGATCTGGGGGGCAACACGAGCGCCGGCAAGCTCCTCGCCGTCCACACCGAGATCTATCAAAGCGCTCGTGCCAGACGAGACAGACGATGCGATGGAGGTGAGGGAGGGGGAGGGGGAGGTGCCGAACAAAGCAGCCGCAGCAGCCTCGTCCAGATCCTGGGCCATTTGGTCGACGGGCATGTGCGAGAAGTAGTCACTATACTCTTCTTCAGACATGCCGTCGCCGTGCACACACGGAGACATTGAACCACCATTCATAGGGGACTCAGTGATGGTCATACCACGGTCCTCCGAGGCGCTCAGGCTCTCAGAGAGGATGGACTGGCTACGGGTTGACTCGGCTTTTTCCTCGGATGCACGCTCACGCACAGCGCTAGCAGTTTGAGTGAATTCCTTCTCGTCACCCTCCAGGGGTGGAGAAGCCGCACGATGCGAGTTCATGAGACGCGTCAGATTACTAGCGTTAGAGAAGTGATCAGAAGAGCCGCCATGGCTAGCGGAGGTATTCAAATCGCCATGCTCCTCGAAGTCGGGAGAAGATAAGTCCACTTCAGGACTGGGGCTACGTTCCCGCACCATTGCATCTTCTTCATCCTCGAGACTGGAAACACTGGGTGTGATGTGCTTGCTACCCACGGCAGATACCAAATCGTCGGTATCAGGAATAGGTTGATGGGGAAAGGTAGTAAGATAGTAGTACACTTTGCGAGGATGAATTAAAATAAGCTCCTTAGCCATTGGACAAGGGGCGAGAGCCGTCCAAGGACGCTTCATATAGGCAGCTAAGCGCGATGAGAGCAGCGCAGCGGGATTTGCGGAACTAAGACAGAACATATTAGATATTCTGATTCAAAGAAACCGCAATTGGAATACATACTTAGCGACATTGACATTTAGTGTGACCAGGACTGCAGCCAATTCTTTTACGAGATGAGGGCGATTCCCTGTCTTCTCAAGTTGGTTGATTACAGCGATCACGATGTCGTCGTTAATTCCTTCTGTGTCGATTTTGGGCGCAAGCACTCCATCCATCGGCGAGGGAGGAGGTGTGATCTCAAATAGTCCATGTCGGCCAGCGCGCGCCATCGTTTTTGGGTCGGATGGCTCGGGTGATAATGAAGTCGAACCATGCGATCTCTTGACCTTTTTTGTGGGTTGTTCATCGGTATGCGCTTTTGAGATAGAAGGAGAACGACGAGTGGAATTTGGCAGCTGAATGCCCAAGGATGGAAGGGATAGTGACTTGCGACGAGTGTTGTACGGCATTGTGAGGAGAGTAATTGGAGAGAACAAGGCAAGAGTCAAGATAGAGTAAGACACACAAAGATGAGGATATAATAGTAACGAAGCAAAAGGATATAATCAAACAGAATAATAAGAATAAATAAAAAAAAAAAGATTCTAAAATGTGGGTTAGTAGAAAGGGGGATGAGAAAGATAAACGGGGGGATCATCAAGATGCGACGCGAAGAGCTGTTTGGATGGCAAATTACCAACGGGGGGCCTGAGGAATCTGCAAAAAAAAAACAGAAAATTAGAAAATTTAAAAAAAAATAAAAATAAATAAAAATTTGAAAGGTAAATTACGGTACGGTATTTATGCCCTTGAATTTGGTAGCCTCCCAATGGTTGTGACGATGATTGGTTGCACTAGGGCTTGTTTTTATCTTCCCTTTTTCTATTACTCTTTAAGAATGTACATGGAGACTGCCTATCTGTACTTAGTACTGTGTATGGAGTACAGAGAAGATAATCTCACACTAGCTTCTATATACTACGCTCCTTCACACCGCTATGTTAAATCCACCGGAGTACGGAGTACGGAGTACAACAAGCGACAATGCGACACGCACAGGCAAAAAGTGAGCAATTCCCAGGCGGTGGAGATCAACCCATTCCTCTTCAGGCGTTAGTATGATAATCCACAGTTCTTTCATTCTATCTTCGGTTTAAGGGCATACCGGAAGAGCTGGGTGGGGTCGTCCATGTGTTCAATGACCCGACTGGGACCAAAATTGATGCTCCATCAATCTTGGCGTCTCCATTAACCCAACAACTCCAATGGTTATTTCAGTGAATAATGTTTAGACCTACGATTCATTGATTGGTAGTCGCTCGGTGGATGTCGGCAGAATATTTCGAACTCGGATCCTTCTCACTGCGTGGGATAAGTACAGTAGATTATGGATTTGATCTGTCACCTGTTGGTTGCTAGGGGACCGAGGCACACACCGCTGCTGATAGATCGAAAATATATTAACCTACGTGGTACGGAGCACTTGGTGAACTAAGCATGCAAGTAAACTAATCAATCATTTATACAACACACACACACACACACACGACATCTAATCCAGGGACAACAATAAACAGCCCACTAAAATTGACCAAAAAAACCCCCGAAAAAGACACAAAGCTTAAGCCGAGCCCTCCGGTCGGAAACGCCGAGACCCAAATCAGCTCCCTAACGCGACTGTTTACAAACAGAAAAAAATTTTTGAAAAATTGATGTGGCCACTCAAAAAGCCCACCCAGGCCCACTCCTTAGTGGGTCTTAGGGACCCAATCGACGGGACAACGATCAATCAGAGCCAGTGTATCGTAATGTACATGACGCTAGTAAGGGATGCTCACATTAGCGTCTCGGGGAGAAAAGGAACGTTTGCCACCGACGATGCAGCAAGCTAAGCCACTTTTGTTTTTTTCTTCTACTCCGTACTCCGAGTAGGTATGTTGTATGTCCAATTTCACTTTCAGCTTCACTGCACTCCGTACCTAGGGTTGTATACCATAACTTTAGATCCGTTATTTTTTTTTTTTTTTTTCAAAGTTCCAAAAACCCCCAAATTAAATTTACTGCATGTGCCTCTAAAAAAGTGGTGATGCCATCAGGAAAACAATAAAATAACACTTTTAATATATATATATATATATATATATATATTCCTACGTGCATATGATGAC